ATGCGGGGCTCGATCCCAGGACCCCGGGATCATGACCTGAGCCGAAGGCAGCTGCTTAACCAACTGAGCCACCCAGGCTCCCCTTGAACTAGAATTTTGACAGCTAGAAGTGAGAATTGAAGGTTCAAGCAGAGATTTCCAGGAGAGGAATTTATATGCTGAGAATAAGAATTTGGTTAATTGAGAATTTGATGAATAAATGTTTTATTAGGAGCTAGAGGGGATGTTCCTGGAAAGGGGTAATTAAGGAACAGATTTGGGAGAGTTTTCCATGCTAAGATAGGGAATTTGGATTTTCTTCATATTAGAGTGGTTAGCTATTGAAGATTTCTAGATAGAACTGTGTCAGTATTTGTACATTAGGGATGTTAATCTGGAACTTATGAGTTGTATGGTGGAAGAAATAGATCATGGAGGACGAGAGGTTAGTCTGTCATTACCCAGAAGACCGCAATAATTAATTGAAGAAAGTTGTTGGTACTCAAAATGGGGAGGAGGAAATAGTATGAAATATTGTTAAATACCTTGAGGTATTATGAGGTCTTATCTCTGGGGAAGATGAGGGATGAGGAATAGAGAAGGGACAAATGACTTGTGAGCTTGAGCTGAGATGATTTAGAGAATGACATGCTATTAATACTGGATTGTAATGTTTGTGTTTGAGGTTCTGTTCCCTGTCGGGTACTCTCTGAATCCAGGCTTGCTTATTCTGTTTGCCTGCTCACAGACCTCTGCCTTTTTCAGTACAATTTGTCTGTCCTTCAGTGTAGACAGCTTTCCTAGTCTGCCCGCCAAAGCTAAATAAAACAAAAAGAATGCCTGTCCTGCATTCCCTTTTTCAGTTTGCTATTTCTTGCTAATAAATTAACATGAGTTCATGTAAGCTCAAATATGCATTTACACACACACACATAGTATTTCATGGGGACTTCTTAGAAATATGCTATGAGATTAGAAAAGTGATATTGTCATGTTGTATTTCGGATGCAGTAGGAAGGATATGGTTTTGGGCTAGGCTGTCTAGGGCCATGCCATCCTGTCTATGGCTGAAGGGACCCTCATTTTCATGTTACCAGTATTTTCAAGTGAAAGGTGAATTCAGTCTGTCCATGGGATTCTGTAGTCCGTGAGTACAACTCTGCTGCACTCAGACCACTTGATGTTAATTCATTAGCAAACTATGATATAATTAATTTCTCAGGTTTATTAAAATCATCTCTTATCAGGTATTAGAAATCTTGACATTTTATGTGTCACCGTTTCAATAATTATATACGATTTCATGTATTAAGCAAGTTGGCTCTTCTGTTTTGCTGGTGAAGACCTGGAGTTTAAGCCTTTGCAGTTAGTGGGTGATAGAGAATAAATAAAGCTTTAAGGGAAAATTATGTTTTTATAATAGAAGTGAGTATTTAGCTCATGTAATTTGCTGTCTGAAGTGTCACCTGGCTCTGTGCTTCAAAAAGGATGAGAAGCTTTCTAAGTAATCTTTGTGACATAATTTCCAGCCTTCTCTTAACTTTGCATAGTTTAAGATAAATATGAAATTTCCTCAGATGAACAAGTCTGGTTCAACTTCTCTTTACGTAGAACATTACAGTTTGCATGAAGGATACTGTGCAGACAGTTAGCGTTCTTTTTTTCCCAATCATTAAAACAGTACATTTGCTTTATAAATTTTTTAAAATATAGAAATTGCTCTGAATATTTGATGTTTTAGATATATTAGTACATAAAAAATTTGGGTTTTACTGTATCTTGTTATTTAACACTAATCTTCAGTATTTTGTCTTGTTATTACCTAGTCCTCAAAAAACTTGATTTTTAATTGTATGGATTTATAATAATCTAGCCATTTTTGTATTTAACTTGTTTCTAATTTTTCACTATTATAATTGATGCTTTGAAGAAGATACTTGTGTATATTTCTTGGAATATGCTCTGGAAATTTCCTTAGGATAAATTCTAAAGGTGAAGTTAATTAAGACAAAGAATATGCCTATTTTAAAATTACTTGATATATGGGTAAATTGCTCCTCACAAAAGTGCATGGTTTTATACTCTGACCAGCAGTTCTGAGAGTTCTGTTTCCCCACACAATTGAAGATATGAATTAACAATTCATTACATTTTTGTTAATTTGATCGGTATTAAATGATATCTTACTGTTTTATTGTCTTAGTGCCTTAATAATCTATATTCCCCTTCTGTCTTTGTTTTCTTTCCCTTATCATTATTGTTTGTATTTGCAGAATAGTGAATTCATGTTATATTCAAATAAGTACATTACACACTGTGACAAATAAAGGGCTTGTAAATATTTAAATATATTCATGTGAGACTCTAAAAAACTATTATTATAACAAAATGATTGTTTAATGAAAACTTCGTAATAGTATGTGGAAAGCATTTTTACTAAATGAAATCTAAATGTGCTTAAAGATCACAATAATACTTTCTGATTTACATTTTGAAATGTGTGATAAAATCGTTATAACAAGACTCTTTTCCTCTAATAAGTCTTTTTCATGTCAAAGTATGTCCATTGGCATTTTTCAGTGTGGTCAAGGTAGATTGTTTAAATATTAATTGTAACCCTGTGAAGACTGTGATTGATGATCTCATCCAGAAGTTATTTGATACGCTTGTTCTTTCTTTGAAGAAGTCCATCCAGGGTAAAGATACTCTTTAATTTTTATTTTAACTTAATTTTATACATAAAGGCATATACTTTGATAATTAGAAATGTAAATCCCAGTGATGATTAAAATCAACCAACCTAGAAAGTATTATGAAATGAAGTGTTCTTAAAATGATAATTTTAATAAAGTAGGAAAGTCCATATCCAACTCTTAAGAGGTCTAAAAATGGAAGGCATTTTTACTATTTGCCATAGGAGCAAGTATCAGTTTGTTGTATATGTTACTGAGAAAGGTAGGTAGTTCTGCTAGAATGTAGTCCTTCTTTCAAATTACTACTGTTTTCCAAAATCCCACATTGTTTCTTTTTCCATTAAACTGAGACATGTTAACAAATTATCTAAAAGACTGGAAAAGTTACCAATTTTGAGCAAAATTTACTAATAATGAGTACATTTTAACTTCCTCAAAATTTTGAGGTATAATGTGAAGCAGCTAAACATCCATGACGAGAAATTTCTTTGCTTATTCTGTATTTTAAAATTTCGTTGTATGAGCAAATAAAAATTTAAGATTTAATGTATGCTATGTAGTGATGACTTCTAACACTCTTTGCTTTTAAAATGATGCAATGGAATGTTTTTGGTGATAATAACATTCTGTTTCAATGTCATTACTCAGCTCACCTACATGAAATCGATACGTTTGTTACTGAGGCTGTGGAAGTTTTAACAGTCATGCCCCAGTGTGTGGAGGAGATCGGCGATGCAAATTTACAGTATAGTAAGCTACAGGAACGGAAACCAGAGGTGAGGATTGCAAAGTAATCAGTTTATTTGTACTGTACTGGAGATGTTTTTTTTTTTAATTTTATTTTATTATGTCATGTTAATCACCATACATTACATCATTAGTTTTTGATGTAGTGTTCCATGATTCATTGTTGAGATGTTTCAGTTAGGTAATATTATGTGACTATTTAGAAATATCGTATGATTTCAGTATTGTAAGAGAGTCCGTATTGTCCGGTCCAGTTGGTCAGCTCACGATTGGACTCTTGCTGGTACGTTGGTGCGGTGAGACAGTGACAGTCCTCTTTATTGCTGTCTTCAGGAGTACTCACAGTCTGTTTTCGGATGTGCCGTGTTAGGATCAGACTTTCCGTAAATAATTCATGCTGTTACTTCCAGGGTCGTAACTTTAGGATGCTGGAGTGTGAGGTTAGAGCTGAATTTAGGACTACACACACACAATGCACATACACACTCACATATAGAGTGATGATATTATGGATGATTTTAACTGTTTAGAAGAAGGAAGAGAAATCATTCAGGTCAGGAAACAAACTTTTATGTGTCCCTCCTGTGTGATAGACTTGAAATTATAAAGATAGTTCAGAGGTGAGTGAAATAATATACCTTCACGGTGTAACACAGCGCGGGGGTTAGAGAAGGAGGAATGAGTGTGTCTCCTAGAAGTTTGGCTTGAGCAGCTGGGAAGCTACTGGTATCATTTACTGCGAATGGCAATGACTGGAAGAGGAAGATGTTGGGATTTTGGAGGTGGTGGGGATTGAGATATGAGATGCAAGTTGAATGAGGAATATGGAACGTAGAATAAAGACTAGAGATGAAAACTTGAATGCCATCTTTATATGCATGAAATGCGAAGCCATGGGGTGGACTAGACCATGTGGTTGATAGCAGACAATGGAGGCTGTGGGAGCAGGGTAGAACATCCCAAAATTTAGAGCTGAAGCGTAAGAGGAGGTGCAGAGGAGACTGAGGGTGAAGTGGGAGAGAAGACACAGAAACGAGGAGAAAAGACATGGATGTCACATGCTAGGGCACCGCGTGAGGCAGGAGGAACTAGACAAGATCTCTGGCACATGAGCCACGTCAGGACCTCAGGGCTGATCCTGTCGATGCTGGGGAGTCTTTGCTGGGCTCTAAGCAGCAGGATGTTACAGAATTGTGTTTTGATGTCTCTCTCTTGCCGTGCGGATTGGATGGAGGAGGAGTGGGGGCAGGCTGACTAGGAGACTGTCGTCCTGTCTTTTCAGGCCCATCTAAGTCCTGTTCACATGTGGGAAATTAGAGCCTTACTTTCTTCTTTCTCTTCTACCGAGTGTCCTAGTGCAGAATGGCTCGGTTCCATGTTTTCAGTTGTCCTTTTCTTAAGGATCTTCTTCATGACTTTTCCTCTCTGTTGAGTAGAATAATGTAGTTTATTTCTGCTTTTAGATAATCCCTAATCTTAGTTCTTTTAGAAGCCCTTTTAGCATTTTCTTATGAGTAGAACTGGTATAGTAAGAACTTTGCCTTGAATATCACTGTAGCATTGTCCTTACTGATTCACGGTGTCGTTCGGTCTGTAGAGCACCTTTATGATCCTTTTTAATGCTCATGTTAGACGGCCTTAGCTGGGTTTGCATATATAATAATAAGTTAGTATTAGGAGCTTCATATCCAGGAATTTAACAAACCATTTCAGAGCAGAAATCTTGATTTTAAAAAAGCTGGTCACGGAACAAGTAAGAATAAATGAACCTTAAGAAATTTGATAAAATAGTTTGTTTTTTTACGTGTTGTTTCTTCAACCTTTAGATTTTGCCCTTATTCCAAGAAGCTGAAGATAAAAACAGACTTTTACGAACTGTGGCAGGTGGAGGTTTGGAAACAATTAGCAATCTGAAAGCTAAGTGGGATAAATTTGAGTTGATGATGGAAAGTCACCAACTTATGATAAAAGATCAGGTAAGAACCTTTTAGTCATTTTCTTAAAATGGAAACTTGATTTTTTCTCACTTAAGATCTCTTGCTTATCTTTATTCTGTTACAGTTCAGGTAGATAAGAATTTTATATTGCTGATGAAATTGGCCTCCTCAGTACTTCTGTGTAGTAAACCACTTCACATAGTTGATTCGCTTCCTGCCATACAAAGAATGTATGCCATGTTATTTTCAGTTTTTCTTAGGAGCGAATTTGTTTGCCTACTACGTATGGTGTCTTCTAAGGGACAACCTGGTAGTCATACACATCTCTTATACTCACGTCCTGTTGACTGAACTTATTACTACTCTTTGGCGTGGGTGACCGGGACACGCCCCCTTAATTAAGCAGCTGTATGCTCGTGTGGGACAGCTCTCGTGACTGGCCAAATCTTTATCACATCAACTTTGTTGAGAGTTGTGGTGGAAGCTGCTAATAACATGAATGATTTTTTAATGATGATGCTTGCAGTATATCTCTTATTGCTGAATATTTGTGGTCTAATTTATGGTCTAATTTTGAAATCAAAATTTTATTGTACTTAAAATCAATAATTGAAAACAATCTTTTGAAAAACTGGTATTGGTGTTTATTCACCTCTAAATAGAAAATGTTAGAAATAAAATATGAAAGGGAAGTGAGGTTTTACTCTGAACTGAATTATATAAACTCTTGACTCTTACAGATTGAAGTAATGAAAGGAAATGTGAAGTCACGTCTTCAGATCTACTATCAAGAATTGGAAAAATTTAAAGCTCGTTGGGACCAACTAAAGCCTGGTGATGATATTATTGAAACTGGCCAGCAAAATGCTCTTGATACAAGTGCCAAATCAATAAAAGAGAAAAAAATTGAGTTTGATGATCTTGAAGTCGTAAGGAAAAAGCTGGTGTATGTTTTTTCTTTAAAATTGACAGTAATCATTTTGATTCATATTTGCATATGTTAAGCCAGTAACATTCTTACATCTGTTTATCTTAATGTAAAATTCTGTAGTTTTAAAGACAGAACTAAGAAGGGCTCATGCTGTTGCTTTCTTAGGAGTCGTGGCTGGGCTCTGTCAGGAGAGGAAAAAAAAAGCAAATTTCTGTTTAGGCCTAGAAGTAGAACAGAAAACTAAATTGACTTAAAAGTTAAATTAGGGAGTCGGAATACTTGCTTTCTGTGCTTTCGTTGTATTTAAAAATGGGATATATAAAATTAATGGCAGATTGCTTTCAGAGACTCTGAGAAAAAAAAATGAACCTAGCAAAATAACAAGACAAATGCAAGAAAAAAATTGTTTTGTGTTACAATAATACAAGATATTAAGTTTATTTTATTTTAAAGATTTTATTTATTTGAGAGAGAGAGAGCATACAGGAGTGGTGGGGGTTGGGGGGGTGGATAGAGGGAGAGGCAGACTCACTCCCGAGCAGGGATCCCGACTCGGGGCTCGATCCCAGGACTCTGGGATCATGACCTGAGCCGAAGGCAGACGCTTCACCGACTGAGCCACCCAGGCGCCCACAAGGTATTAAGTTTAAATGTTGTTTTAGGTTTGGTCTCTGTTTACGCAAATGCATCCATAAGATAATTGTCTTCATGGGGGAGTGGAGGGTTTAGTACCACACTGACTAAATGGCATTATACCTTTTATCTAAAAGGGTATCTTATATTCCAGAATCTAACTCTTGGATATTAATATTCATCTCTTCTCAGTTAATCCATGAATATAAATAATTCTGAATATTTCTATTTTTATGACGTATATGATGTACATAAATAGATGTGTTACCAGCTCTACTTTGACTCCTTTAGAAAAACGCACATTTATGAATTTAAAAGAGGTTATACTTAAGTAGTTACAGTAAAATTCTCATGCAGTCCCCCACTGTCTGGCTCCCTGTCAGATACGCAGGTGTGCGCACATGCATGCACACACAGGGAATGCAGTTCAGTAACAGTGAGATGTAACAGTTTTTTAAAAATCTAATGATATTTCACTCTTTGTTTCTATAGTGATGATTGCCATCATTTTGGACTAGAAGAGCCCAACTTGTCCTTGGCGTATAGCATCTCCAAGGACATTGAGAGCTGTGCACAGATTTGGGCGCTTTATGAAGAGTTTCAGCGGGGGCTTCAGGAAATGGCCAGCGAAGACTGGATTACGTTTCGGTGTGGCTCATAAGCACTGTTTAGATTCTTATAACTTGGTGGTGTGTTGGGGGATGTGCATTTTAAGGTGTCCTGGTGTTTTCCAGGACTAAGACGTATCTGTTGGAGGAGTTCTTGATGACTTGGCACGACAGGTTACGGAAAGTGGAAGAACATTCGGCCATGACCGTGAAGTTGCAGTCAGAAGTCGACAGATACAAAGTAAGACCTGGTGCTCCTGCTGCGCGAGAGTCATCTTGGGGTCGTTATGCAGCCGAGGGGGCTGGGAGTCAGTTTCTGGTTTTAGTGATGCCATCACATGAAGAAAACAGGAAGGATAGAATAAACCCTAGAAATTACTGGTATTTCTCCTACGCTTTTGAAAAGTTTTAACTAACAAATTTATGCTTTCCATAAATTGGAGTGTTTATACCTCCTACTGCAATTTAGGTTATGGGTCATTTAGCATATTTAGGATATAGGTCGTATCCTAAATAATAAAAATAGAAATATTTTAGGTCATGTTTTAAAATACATCAAGCTACAAAGGGATATTTGCATGTATCCACAGCAATGTTTAATAAAATTAACTAATAATTATTAAATTATTATTAAATAATTAATAAATTAATGTGCAATTCTGTTTGAGAATTTGATTTCTAGATTATTAAATAAAATAACAGTAATTAAAATTTTTATAGCTAATCATAAAAGGGGATAACAATTTGCATTTTGATAATATATGTTCATGTGTGTACATATGTTTTTTTAACAGACTGTGATACCTGTTTTGAAATATGTGAGAGGAGAGCATCTATCTCCAGATCACTGGCTTGACCTTTTTCGTCTACTTGGTCTTCCTCGGGGGACTTGCCTGGAGAAGTTACTGTTTGGTGATCTCCTCAGAGTAGCTGATACGATTGTTGCCAAAGCTTCAGACCTTAAAGTAGGGTTCACTTTTATAAATATCTCATAGATATGACCTTTGTTAACATATGGTTTTGCTTTGTATTTTATTTAAATAAAACAGCAAGTTAAATTTTTTTCCTCTTAGTATAGTGACCGTATTCCCCTATTCCATTATTTTTTCTTTCGTAATGCCTCTGAATATGTGTGGGGGTATAGAAGCATCATAAACCCCTTCCTTGAGAGAGAGAAAAAATATGAAATGAAGAAATGTCTTGGTTTAAGGGAGTCAGCTTTAATTAAAAAAAACAAACAAATACAAATCATTTTACATAAAAATATATTTAAAATCATGGGATATATTGTAAATAAAAGCGAAGAGAAGCCAAAATCCAGAGAGCTAAACCAAGAACCAATTTGCTAATCAGGTTTAGAAAAGGTCTCAGGTAAAAGTAAAACTTGCACAGCTCTCAGTTTTAACATTTTACTTTCTGTGTTGCGTTTTGCCCATTCAGTGTAAAAATGAAAGAATTCGCTCTCTTTTAAAGATTTTATTTATTTATTTATTTATGTGAGAGAGAGCGACCATATGCACACACGGGGGGAGGGGCAGAGGGAGAGAATCTCAAGCAGACACCCCACTGAGCGAGGAGCCCGACCACATGGGGCTCGATCTCACGACCCTGATGTCTCGACCTGAGCTGAAACCAAGAGTCAGATGCCTAACCGACTGAGCCACCCAGGCGCCCCAAAAAGAAAAGTACTCTTGATGTCAGATTGTCATATTTCGTACTTAAGATATGTACCTTTGTGTGTGTTCATAATCTTGGAGCCTATTTAGATAATTGTGAGGTTATAAAGCATGACTTCTGTAGAAGATGGTTATTAATCACTTTAGGCGTATCAGAACTTAAAATTAAATTACAATAAAATTCCTGAGGTCTGCAAAGTTTTAAACATGACAGACTTTTTTTTTTTTTTTTCCAGAGAGGGGGAGGGAGCAGAGGGAGAGGGAGACAGAGAATCTTAAACAGACTCCATGCCCAGCACAGACCCTAATTTGGGGCTCGATCCCACAACCCTGAGATCATGACCTGAGCCGATATCAGGAGTTGGTCATGTAGCCTACTGAGCCACACAGGCGCCCCAAAGCCAGCCTGGTTTTGTGTTTTGTGATGGATTCTTGAATTCTTTTTCCTTTTTAGAAGTAAAAAGTATATGGTAGAACTTTATATATACTTTGTGTGAACCTGGATACTTAGTATCTGGTATCTCTTTGATACATTAGCAGTTCTCTTGGATTGCATGTAAAATATATTCACTTATTATTATTATTACTTGCTTTATTGTGAAAAACCAAATAAAAATATATCTTTTTTGAAATGTTTTATGATTTATGTCTATGGTAATTAATGTTGAAATAATAAATATGGATATTTTGTGTTAATTAGGATTTAAATAGTCGGGCACAAGGTGAAGTTACAATCAGAGAAGCTTTACGTGAACTTGATCTTTGGGGAGTTGGAGCAGTATTTACCTTGATTGATTACGAAGACAGCCAAAGTCGAACTATCAAGCTAATTAAAGACTGGAAAGACATAGTGAATCAAGTTGGAGATAACAGGTGCCTTCTTCAGTCCTTAAAGGATTCTCCTTATTATAAAGGATTTGAAGATAAAGTGTCAATTTGGGAAAGAAAACTTGCAGAATTAGATGAATACCTACAGAGTTTAAACCATATTCAGAGGAAGTGGGTATATCTGGAACCCATTTTTGGCCGTGGAGCATTGCCGAAAGAACAGACACGCTTCAACAGAGTTGATGAGGATTTTCGGTAAGTACGGCAGTGTAAGACATCGACATGCGTGGCAGTTTTTTCATTCATATCACGAGGGGCTTAACACAAGCTGAGTACCTTTATGTTACGAGTGTTGTCTGTGTCTTCAACCTCTTTCTCTCTGCTGGATCCCTCTGAGGAGCTGTTTGCTCTCATTCAGCCATTTACTTCTTGAACCACGTTGATCTGATTGCTGTCCCTACCACTCTACTGGATATTAGCAATAATAGTATGGGAGCACAAGGGTGATGATGACAGGACTGATCTATACCTGCCATTTCCTAGGGTTACCCGTTCCTTTCCTGTTGTAATTTGCTGGGCATTTTGCATGCCTCGTTTTACTTCATCTCTGACTAGTATTTACAGAGGTGAGCATCTCTTGTTGGAGAGTTTCTTCCCTTGGCTTCTGGGATACTGTCCTCTGGTTTTCTGGTCATCTGGGTCCGCTCGAGTTCCTGGTGCTCAGGCCTCTCTCAGCATGTAGGTTTGGGCCCTCCCCCGGTTTCAGGCTCCGGTTCTCTCTCTCTGTGTGCGCTCTGTGGGCGCTCATGGCCACCCCCTCATTCTTTTCCACCTGCTGCGGCCTCTCAGGGTATTTATCGAGCCCATCTTTCTCCTCTGAGCTCCAATATACTGAACATCCTCAGCACTTCAAAACTAGATTCACGAGTTCATCCCTTTGGCCCAAATCTTTCCCATTCCTTTCTCAGTCACTGGTACCTTGACTCAGAGCGGAAACATAATGGATATTTGACCTCCCCAAACACCTCCAAATGCACGTTTGTTAGCACGTTTGTTGATTCTAACCTACTTGATCTATTGGAGCGTATCTTTTCTGTCTCTCCTTTCTCCCGACCTTCGGCTTGCGCTCGTCTTCTCCATTAAGCCGCTTGCCCAGCGGCCAGAGTAGCCTGTGACAAGGGAAGTTTGATTGCTGCTTTTCTTTCCCTTTGCTCCAAGGATAAAGCCTAGTCTGCTCCGTGTCCACTTCTGCAGCCTCCCTTGCACTGCTCTGTTTGCTTCGGAGACGCTTTTGCTCCCCTCCTGCTCACCGGTGTTTTCTTTTACTCACTGTGCAGATCTCCATCTCAGTGACTTTCTCAAGCCATAGGTTAGGGGTTGTCCTATTAGCTGTGTTAAGAATACTTTGTACTTTTCCTTCTTAGCGTTTGTCATAATTTTATTTAAATATTTTTAGAAAATATTTAATATCTTTCTCTGTCACTGGGCCATTATCTCTACGAGATAGGGCTTAATAGGTGTTTAGCGAATGAATGAAATTGGAGAATTTGCAATAAGGTAGGTTGAAAATGGTAATGGGGGAGCACATGGCTCGCTCGGTCAGTGTAACATAGGACTCCAGATCTCGGGGTCATGAGGTCAAGCCCCACACTGGGTGTAAAGCTCACTTAAGAAGAAATGAAGTATTTAAAAACAGTAATGGGCTATTCTTAATTTTTAGCGTTATTTCTTAGAAGCATAGTGATGTTTTGCTGTTAAAATAGGGTTACTTCTAGTTTGTTCCAAGCAGGCAAAAAATAAATGTCTCAGTATTTCTCTTTCAGCCGGAAACTGCTAAAATAAAGGTAAAAATAACTATTTTTTCTTCTGTAGGTCAATAATGACTGACATCAAGAAAGACAATAGAGTCACAACGTTAACTACCCAGGCGGGAATCAGAAATTCTCTGCTGACGATACTTGATCAGCTTCAAAGATGTCAGAAATCATTAAATGAGTTTCTGGAGGCATGTTTTTTGGAAGTACTTCTATAATAAATTTTAAAGTCCTTTATTGTGTGACTCATTTGAAGAGCTAAGGCTCTTGTTCTTGTTTGTGTCTGTGTCAGGAGAAACGCTCAGCGTTCCCCAGGTTTTATTTCCTCGGTGATGATGACCTGCTGGAGGTGCTGGGCCAGTCGACTAGCCCCTCGGTGATCCAGTCTCACCTCAAAAAGCTGTTTGCTGGTAAGAGTCAACAGGTCTCCGACACGTAGTTACTGCGTTTCAGGATCTGCCAGACGTAGTATTAGGCTCCGAGGTAGACTGTCGAATAGAATGCGTGTCCCACACTCAAGAAGAGTTTATAGTTTAGTGGAAAGACAGCCTGCTGCGTGGACAGATCCACAGCACCTCCTGCGGTTGGCACAGCCGCGGCTGAGGAGCAGTTCGTGTCCTCCTGGGGCGTCTTGAAGGGGACATCGAAGCTGCGGTCTGCAGAGTGTGCCGGTCATCGCTAGCAGCAAGATGGGAAGGCGTCAGGCACTGGGTGCAGAGAGAAGGAGAACGCGCCCCTTCATTGCCGAGTGGACGCCCTCTGAAGGCGTTGCCAGTGGGGAGGTCTGGGGCGGGGAAGGGCCGTCGGGGGCCAGCTGTGGGCTGAGGCGAGGTCCCCTGGTGAACAGTGTGGTGACAGAGCCGTGCGCGTCCCTCCTGCTGAGTTGCTGTCGGCGGGTCAGGGACCATGCACTCCGTCTGCTATAAAAATAATGGTGACTGTTGTTTCAGAATGTTCCATTTGTTGGGAGAACAGCCATATTTTTCAAATGAAGTAAAACACTGTCACCATCTTCGCTTACGGTCAGGGGTCAGCCACCGACAGGCCCCAGGCCGACTGGCTCAGTGCCGGGCTTCCTGCCGTGCGGTTTTGTTGGAGCGCAGCGTGCCCTTCAGGGTTGGGGACGGCTCTGGTGCGGCAGTGTGCGGTGGAGGAGGTGACCGAGGCCGTACGGCTGTGGAGCCCTCCTGTCTTCGCTCCCGGTGCCCCACACCCGTGTTCCCTGGCCCTGGGCGCGAGGCCCTCAGGCGCTCCATCCGCAGCTCTGGTTTGGGCTGTGGGAGGCAGTGGCCGGAGCTCTTGGAATCAGCAGGCTTGCTTTCAAACTCGGCCTCTACCCGGGATTAGCCAGCTCCCAGTTTACCTCTCTGAAGTTTACTTTCCTCCTCTAATTGGAAATAACAACTTATGGGGTTTTTGTGAAGATTAAAATTGGGTGTATATGTATATCAGTATATTGAAGTATTTTTGTCTACCATAAAATAAAATACAAATCTGGGGGAAGGGAGGTCCCGTTTGCCCTCCCCATTCCTTCTTCTCTTTTGTCTTGTATCATGTTAGTGGAATCATCAGTATGTGTTCCTACGCGCTCATTTGTGTCTGGCCATTTTTTGCTCATCATCATGTTTTTGAGATACCTGCAACTACATTTTATTCCTTTTTATTGCTGAGTAGTGTTCCGTTATTTGAATATAACACTTTATTCATTCACCTATTGGTGGCCATTTTGGTTCTTTTCAATTTTTGATTAGGAAAAACTGTTCTATTACATAGGAGAATCAACATAATTCCTATACATTATAATACATATTATGAGGTACACATTATACACTGTGGTAATGATGTATCTTGTTTAATAATTATGTCTTTAATCCTTTTACATTTCAATTGTTCTTTTATATTATAGGTATTAACAGTGTGTGCTTCGATGAAGAATCTAAACATATAACTGCAATGAAATCTTTAGAGGGAGAAGTTGTACCTTTTAAAAATAAAGTTCTTCTATCAAATAATGTAGAGGCAAGTAGTTCTTCAAGTATGAAAATAAAAAGAAACTATGAACTTTGTATCAAAAATAATTTAGTCTATTTGTAGGGTAAACTTAGGCCTTTTAGGAAACTCATCTCGTATCTTAAAAGAATTATTTGTTAGGTTGAGAATGATTTGATATTGAAGAAAATACAGATTTTTAGTCTTTGGAAGGCATCGTGTAACTATGAAAAGAATCTTTGCTTTGGAGACGGAAAGACTGGATATTAATCTTAACTCCTCAACTTATTAGCTATGTGACTTGGAATCACAGCTTTCTTATCTGTAAAATACCCATTTTACTACCCATCTTACTGTCTGTTGCAAAGACTGTCTGTTGAAAATTAAATGAGATGACTGGCTTTAAGTACACTAGATAGTGTTAGGAGCCTAAATACTCACTAGGTACTTGAAAAAGATGATTTACTTCAGAAGGTGGAATTATGATTTGTTATTGACACTCACACACCCAAAATGTATTGTATGAGGTGATGGCTGTATGAGATGATTTTATATGAGATGATTAGGTGAACAAGTAAGTTTAAAATGAATGCATGCACAGGACGACTATTGATTAATGGGCCCTGGATCCTTGGAAGTAAATGGTCAAAGGCGTCCGACAGGGATACCGCTGAAACCAGACAGCAGGAGGTCGCAGCACATTGAACTGTAACTTTCACGGACCAGGATTATCTTCCAGCTGGCGGCCGGGGCCCATGCCTGATCACACACATACCTGTCTCTACCGTTGGGCAGAATTTCTTTTCCTGAGTGGACCTTAACATTTGATGAAATGTTGATGACATCAGTCAGGTGATTGGAAGCACAGGTTTGTTAGAAGCTCCCATGTTTATGTTAGGTGAAAGGTTTTGTTGCTGTGTTGTTGTTTGCCCGTCTTGGGGTTTTGTGGGCAGCGGATGAAGAGAGAGGAGGAGCGTGCGTCTGAGCAGTAGGTCCGCAGCAGCTTTGCCAGCCGAGGGCACAGGAAGTCCACAGGCTGAGGCCGTGATCAGCAGAGCGGTTGTGTGCGGCCTCTCCCAGAGTCGTTCTCATGCCGGAGCCCCCGCGCCGGCTGAGCTGCAGTGAAGTTCAGGCTGCTGCATACCAGAAAGGGTCCAGAGTTGGAGAAGTCCAGAACTTAGAGTTTAATGATGATGAAAAGCTATTTGCAGTGTAGGTTTTGCACTTATATTTTATTGCAAATATACAGTCTTTTAGAGTCATGATTAATAAATATTCATTGCTAGTGTTATCAGTTATTGTTGTTCTGTTAACTCCAGTTAACTTTATTATTTTATCTATCTTAAAATGAAAAATGTATTATTTTGACCCCAAAACAGAATTAGTTTTGTTTAAAGAAGTAGCTTAGCTCCCCACATAATAGAGCTCACCCTAATAAAGCAGTCCCTTCTTCCACTGCAGCTTTCTGAATGTGAGCTCACAGGATAGCATGAGCCCCGAGATGAGCCAGTCACTGCGACTCTGCTTTATTGGCCCGGCTCTCTAGTTTGATTTCTTGTAACATTGAAATGAAGGGGTTAGTTTGCTCGTATTATGGTCATTTGTAGAGATGACAGTGATAGCTAACTGTACATTTATGAGTTTTCACACTTAACCATTATCCCAAGAGGTAAGAAAATTGTTTTCCTCAAATTATTTAATTTCTTTATTAATAAATTATTATATGTCATATGACACATTTTGGGAATGTGAGAGTCAATAAGAAATTATAATCCTGCCTCTTGAAATAAATGAATAGGGTCAGTCAGTAGAGTGTATATTTGTTTTATGACTTGTGTATATTATTATTTTTTTGAAAGGTTTATTCAATTATTTTGAGAGAGAGAGCACATGAGCAGGCGGGAAGGGCAGAGGGAGAGAATCTCACCACTGTGAGATCACGACCTGAGCCAAAACCAAGAGTTGGATGCTTACCTGACTGAGCCACTCAGGAGCTCCTTGTATATATTATTCTTAATTTTATTTTCAGACCTGGTTAAATGATTTAGCCTTGGAAATGAAGCAGACTTTGAAGCAGTTGTTGATAGAATGTGTTACTGCTGGACGAAGTTGTCAAGGTTCAGTTGACCCATCCTCGTTCCCTTCACAGGTAAGGGGCTCGTGTCTGGCAGATAGGCAGGCCTGGCTTCATGGGAAGGTCCCTGACACGGAGGCTGGGGGCCCGACAACTGGCATCATCTTGTTCTCTCTTTTCTGTAGCAGTTTCTGACAGATTGCTTAACTTCTGAGTCTTTGTTCCTTCCGCTGTAGACTGTGACAGAAGACCTGCATGGTGGTGATTGAGAGGCTTTCAGGCAGAGGTCAGAGGCGCTCAGGCCAGCCAGGGGCTCAGCGATGCAGTGGCTTCCTGGTTCCAGGTGGTTAGTGCATCACTGACGCAGAGGCCCAGGGTCTGTGCACTGGGCCTCCGTCTCCCGTCAGTCATCCAAGAGGTTGGCGCTGGTGGGAGGTTAGCGGGGCGTTCGTGCGTGTCTGAAATAGGGCCATGGCGCCGAACTGGGGTGTCGGCAGGGGAGCCGAGAGCTAGTCTGCATGGTGGGTCGTGGACCTGAAGCGTGGCCGCGGATCTGGATCTTACAGGACGTGGTCCCGGTCTTACCCGGTGTGGTGCAGTGTAGTGCTGAGACTTGTGCTAAACATCCTTCCTTGTTCAGGATTCGTTTCACTGAGGCTGAGACTCACACCGCAGGTACGGGACATCAGGGGCTTCGGTTCTCGGCACCTGTAAAGAGCAGGCATTGGAGATACTCTGTGATGTCTCACAGGAAAATCTACCCCACTGTTCAAGGTTATGTGCTTTCCACACTAAACCATTTAGTAGCTATTGGAACAAGTTTTTTGTTGGTTCTTTCAAAGCTTGAGAAGTTAGATGGGAAACTTGAATATTTTCGATTCTTAGCCACTGTCTCATTCCTGTCATTTGCGTCTTCTGGTAGGTCGAGACAAACTGAAGTATGTTTTAACAGTTCTTGTTAAGCTCTTAGAGAAAACTAAGGGTAATCATCAGCGAACAGTAATGCCATTGCAGAGTCCCAGGTAAGCTGCTCTGTTGCTTCTGGAAATGTTCTCTACTCCTTTCGACTTCCAGGTAGGATTCAAGTGAACTTGGAATAAAAGACAGAGTTTTAAAACATTTCCAGAAGGAAGGATTGTGTAGCGATTGATTGGGGGCGTGACAGCGGTGTCAGGAGATGCGCGGGGGCGCTGTAGGCGCGGGAGGGAAGCTGCTGGTCCGAGCCTGCAGCCCACCTCAGGGCTCGCAAGCACCTGGCTGGGAACGGGGACTACAGAAAGTGTCGGTAGTTCACTGTCTCCATAAAAACATGAGCTACTGAAAGTAGGAATAGTTTGTTGTCAACCAAAACAAAGAATTCTGGTGTCTTAGCAGTTAGTGCGAAGAAAAATTTCTCTCAAGAGCCTTTACGTGTGGGGCTTGGATAGCACACCTGCATGAGTGTCTGGTGTGAGTCATACTGCTGGTTCAGCTTTTGGAGGCTTTTTGTAGGGGCCTGAAATAGTGTAGAGAAGGAGCGCTGTGATCTGGGAAGGAGACAGCACGCCGAGTGGAAGGGATCCGACAGGCCCTGGTTCACATCCTGCTTTTGTCTGTGTTCTCGGACTGACTCTTGTGGGCACTCAGTCCAGAGGGCGTGATGATACGTATGGAGCCAGGTTGTTTTGAAGCTTAAAGTGTGAACGTTTGCAAAGCACTGTTAATGAGTGCTGGCTTTTAGGTTATTAATAATATCAGTGACTGCCCAGATACCGTAATGGTAGTGTGGCCTGAGAAGTAGCCAGGACTGCATTTTGACTACTATTTCTCTTAGCCTCTCACAGAAGTTGTATAGCAGACTGTTAAAAATTGAGATTATCAGTGTGCACTTCAAATGCAGAAATTTGGTAGTATTGCCTGAAAGGGAATCCACAGATAGGAGTATTAGTTTGGAGGTAGCAAGTGAACATTTTTGTATGAAGATTAAAGAGCAAAGGTCTTTCTCAAAAAGCGGATTTGGATCTGCTTAAATGCTTCCTCATACACTTGATGAAAGAGGCTGGTGAGTTTGTCCCGCAAATTAGGGGGGACAGCTTTGCCCCGGAAAGAGTTACTCCTCCTCTAAAGAATGGTATTTAATGCTATTTACATAATGATATTTATATAATGTTTTTGATAGTATGTTAACACATTGTCTTTAAGTTCGAACAAGACGGCAGCTTAGCCTGCTGTGTGAAGTTATAAAATGTATATGTAGATAACTAAATGAGTTAATCTGGTAAGTAGAGGCATCTGATGATATTCATCTAGATGCTGAAAAGTATCTGTCAGAAAAAACTGTCCCATAGTAATTGGTCAGTAGGTTTAGTCGTTTTATATGATTGGTTTTCTGCATTCATCTAAGAACTCTACTAAACTATTTTAATAGAAGTTTTCAAAGGCTAGTATAATGTATAACGTATAGTTAACGTATAACGGTTTTATCAGTAGCCGTGCTAGGTTGGTTCTGTTACAGAAAGTCTTTCAAGCAGTGTTAATATTTCATGTTTTATGTAAATATAAGGATGTCTCTTGATCTATAGCTAGTTTCTGTTTATGGGTATTAGACTGAAAGATGAAGACAGAACTTAAGATAAAATTGGAATTTCGGAAGTTTAGACTCCTTTAGTAGCCTGAGATTATTTTGGAATGCACTGATACCTTTGCATCCTTTTTCTGACAAGAAGCCATTCATAAAGAGGAGAGTCGGGAGAAGAAAATACAGAGCCTCTTAGGTTACGGGGAGCCTGGTGTGTTCTAGGACCAGGCACTAGGCCCGTGGGAGAGTAGCTTGAGGTGAGTTCTTGGTGAGCTTTCCCGGGACAGTGTTGCAGGGACCGGTGATACCTTCTGTTAGAGACCCAGTACACAGCTGGGGGTCTGGGAAAAGGCATCTCCCCTTCAGTTGATGAAGTTTTCTAAGTAAATTTACCTTTCAAAAATAACTTTTCTCTTTATTCATTAGATACTATGTTTGGCAGAGCAGATTAAATTCACTGAAGATGTAGAAAATGCTATCAAAGACCATAGTCTTCATCAGATTGAAACACAGCTGGTGACTAAGCTAGAGCACTATACTGCCGTTGATACAAGTTCGGAGGATCCAGGGAACACTGGTATGAAAACTGGTCCGTCTTCTGCCTGCTTTGGGGTTATCTGAACTTTTTCTTGTTACTCTATCTTAATTTATGTCTTGTGTTTTTGACTGTATCTTTCAACCCATCACCTATTTCAGAGGTTTAGTTTAAGAATTAGAATATACATGCTTTTATATTGTGCTTAGAACCAGTAATTTATTACTTGAAACAACTGTAGGAACCTCCCCCCATACAGGTTTCTTTATCCTCTTCTACGTAGCTGCGGTCTTGTGTATCACCCCTTTGTGCCCTGAAAACTCAGACTGCGTGACAGTGTTTGCCTTTAGCATCAAACGTTTCAAAGACTCGAGAAGAGCGGCCTGCTGTGTTTACCTGGATGCCTACCATTTCTGTTGCCCTTCCTTCATCCTGACACTCTCACTTTCCTGCCGATGGAGTAACTTCCTTTGGCGCTTCTTTTAGATGGAGTTGCTGGCTCTGATTTCCTTCCTACAGTTGCCTGCGTCTGAGAGTGTCTTTATTTCACCTGCACTGTCTTTGCTTAAGGAAGTATTGTTTTGGTTCTTTGCATGTGGAATGGTGTGGGATTGTATACCGGACACTGTGAATATTGTGTTAGGAGTGTCTGGGTCTTGTTTACATCCTTTGGGTAATGTTGACGGTTTCTGTTAGCGGTCGATCGTGTTGGGTT